AATGTCTATAGTGATGGGTTTTTGTGTGGCTAATGTCGATTTTTATAGTAGTGATAGTTTTTCTGTCCGACTCGAAATCTTGCCAAGATCTTAAATCTCGGTGCAAAATAAAAAATTTGGCAAGTTGCTTCAGAATTGTCTCATATATGAGTAAATATGGCAATATTAGGTATCATCTAGATTTTCTATACCAAAATAAGAAATTCCAAAAAGAACACCAAAAACAAGTTTCTCAATTGAGAGAACACAAGATTATATATAGAATTTGTAGTTACATCTATGGTGGAGAAGGAGGTATTCGATTCTGACATTTACAGTGACGATGTTGAAAATTACATCGGTGGTGGAGAAAGTCGATAGTGAGTCCTACGATGATGGAGAAATCACAGTGGGGTCAGGGAATAGTGGAGAAGGCAGCGGTTGCAAGGTAGTAGAAGGAAGCAAGACGAAGGAAAAGGTTCTTGTGGAATTCCGTCGATTGCATAAAATTAAGAAGCGCAGTCCAAGTGTGAAAGGGGAGAAATACGTAGTAGAAATAATATATGGTGTACGATGAATTAAATAAGCCCGGAATAAAAAAAGTTGGGGGTGGAGGTGTTTGGTTGAAATTTGGTTAAGAGAAAGGGATGGAGAAGGTCTCGATTTGTGAGGATGAAAAAAGTGTCTCATTTGGGAAGGAGAAGGATTAAGTTTAGTTGAAATGATTTAGGGGAGTGAATTAATTCATAAGGAAAGTCGTCACGACGTGAATTTTCAAAACAACTTTTAATTTTTAATCATATAATCTTCATAACACATTTTAGAAAACATCATTCATTTAGTAACATAACATAACTCTAATTTTAATCAGTTAATAATCTAGGATCCTCGAAACATAATTTTTTCTTTGGTGTGTACAATCAAGTCGGTGTCGTCTCGCGATCTGAGAAAACCTGAAACACGTAACACATAACACGGTAAGCACGAAGCTTAGTGAGTTCCCCAAAATACCACGCACAAGTAACTAGCCACTCGAGGATATAGCTCTGTAAGACCTTCCGGTCAATGTGTCTCAGTGGAACCCTCCAATCTCATAGCTCGTTGGGCCCTCTAGTCCGATCATAACTCGTTGGACCCTTCGGTTCGGTCTAGCTCGTTGGACCCTCCGGTTCGGTCTGGTTGAGAGCCTTCCGGCCTCATAGTTCGTTGGACCCTCCGGTCCGGTCTTTATAGCACATAGCATAAAATCACACAGACAAAATGCATAACTCAAGCAAGCACATAAGACCCTCTGGTCACACATAATTACCACTCTAGGTAAAGTGTAGTGAGAAGACTCACCTCGGGTGAACTCGGATGATCTCGTACTCGAAACACTGATCTAGCCTCCGCCTAATCACATACAAAAGTTACCTCTAGTTAACAATGGATCTTAAAGGCTAGACTATACTCTTCCTATGCTCTCTCTCAGATGGGTAAAAGACCATTCTACCCTTCCTGACCTCTTACACTCATCTTGACCAAACCCTAAGGTCAACAAAAGTCAACTCCAGTCAACAGTCCAACTTTTGACCAGACTCATCAAGTGCACTCGGGCAACTCATCGAGTCCATTCGATTCATGGCAACCCTAGCAAGCTCCAACTTGACGAGCTAAACCCTAACTCGTCGGGTCACCACCTGACTTAGTTCATCAAGATAAAACCTTGCGCTACTCGCTGAGTCAGCGACTCGACTCGGCGAGTCTATTCAGACTCTTTTTGCATTTAGCCATTTTAGTGCAAGATACTTTCCCAAACATCAGATCTATGCACTTAAGGCTCATTAATCACGTAAAGGTTCGACCTTTATGACCATGCATTACTCATCTAGGTCCAATTAACAAAATAACCCTCAAAATGGTGTCTTTGGTTCAATATTCTTATGTAACTGCATAAAGTTGGGTTCTTGGGACTGTCTGGACCTCTCAAGGTTTAGATATGATGTCTAAACCTCAATGGGACTTCATATGCTTCATATCTCAACTTAGAAGACGGTAAAGAAGCCCTAAATTCATGACATCTACTAATCATATGGAAACAGGTATGGATTCATACCTCCAATGACATCCTTGAATGAAATAGTGGAAGATCTGAGCCCCTCTTGTCAGTCAAGCTTGAACCTTCTCCTTCTTCCTTGCAAGAATGCACCAAAATGAAGCAATTAGCTCCCTCTATCTCTCTAAGCTTTCTGGATCGATTTAGGGTCTCTCAAGGGGAAGTGTGGCCGCAAATGAAGCCCATAAGAGCCTTTAAATATGTCACAAACCCGAGCAATTAGGGTTTTCCTCAGCAGTGCTGACTCGGCGAGTCAGATACCTGACTCGTCGAGTCCATTCATTAAACATGTCACCAAGTCGCGACCCTACTCGGCGAGTTGAGGCACCACCTCGTCGAGTCACCCACACAAACTTATACTTGCATATAGAAATGTTATACCTCAGAAATCAAGATGTTACAAAAGTAATAGCAACAATAGATATGTAACCGATAAGAGCTCATGTCATTGTTTTTTGGATTAGCAAGGGATATTGTCTATTGTCGTTTCCGTAGCATATCTCTCGTAACTCTCTTGATAAACGGATACAACTTTGGTAATCCATATGCGTATAAAATTCGTCATGGATCCCTCATAAGCCCGTCGCTAATTGCTAAAATTTAGCTAAAGATATTTTTCGTTGCTAAATCCATCACGTTCAAAATCATGTTTCTAGTAGTGTTAGCATAGGTCACACAAATATAGGAGATCTATCTAGGCTATGTTTAGTGTATTATTGAAAAGCTAGTTGTTAGCTGAAAAGCTAACTGATAGCTGAAAAGCTAGTTGTTAAATAAAAACCTAGTTGATAGCTGAAAAACTAACTGATAAAAAATAACGTTTGGTAAAACTAACTGAAAAGCTAGCTGGAATATATAAAATGACGTAAAAAGGCATTTAAATTAATGTGTTTCTATAATTGATTAAGAATTATATTTGGAAATTTTATAAAAATCTCCAAAAAAAAAGTTAGTCTAAGTAGGTTTTTAAAAAAAGTAACTTATAAATTATTTTTCGACTTACCGAACATGATCGCATAAAAAAGCTCGAAAAATAAGTTAACTTATTAATTAGCTCTGGCGTTCAAAAAAATAACCTTATACTAGGGATGTGATTAAAAACCGAAAAATAATCGGATCGAAACTTGTTGAACCGATAGATGCTAAACCTGACCGGTTATTGGATTTAAAATATAGCCTTATCTAGATACTGGGTATCCCGGATATGGGTCCAACAGTCCAGGTAAACCAAAACGACATTGCTAAAGAAGAACCGGATAATGGGCCGAAAGCAGGTTTGGGTAATTAAAGAACCGGAATTTAAAGCCTTGGTTTTTGTTTATGTCAACCAAGTCCTAGACTCCGGATACACTGGGTGGGGATCTACAAGCAAAATAAATGATTAAATAAATAAATGGTACGTAATCGACGTCTACAGACTATTGCCCTCGCATCTCTATTTTTTTCTCACGTGAGTCACGTCCACCAAAATCCTCCAAATGATACTTGACAAATAGTTTTTTATTTATATATATTATGAAGTACAAAAAAAAGTAAACATTGAGGTTTTTTATTTATTTTCCTTCGCGTGTTTTATTTGACATTTTAATTTTTGCAAAACAGTACTAATCTGTAGCTATTTTTCTTTTTATTACCAATAGTGGGCGGCCAAAAAATAAAGAAAATAGATGTTTTATGCCTTTCCATTGCCGAGGGCTTGTACGAAAAAAAAAAAAAAAAAAAAATTCCCTTCATCAAACCCAAAGGAAAGCTGTCGAGCATGAAGCAACACAAAACGAGTACTTTTTTGCATTTCTATTTCCAGGTTTCGGGGTCTATTCGGGTCTAATACATAAAACTGGCTCCAATTATCAATTTCCGGTTACCCACTTTACCCGGTCCATAACTGAATCGGAATCAATTCCTCCGGTTCGGTTTCCGGGTCTCCAAATCCTTCAATTCCTCTTTTCAGGTTTTTTGGGTTCGGATTTGGACCCACTTTCATCCCTAATTTATACTAGTAAGTTGACATAATATCTATTGATAAGCCCAAGCCTGGAAATTTTGACAAATCTGGATCATTGTGACATATATATGTATGAGCTGCCGCCATGATGCATGATCCTTATTGTAATCAATGGTTTTGGTTCTTTGTTTATTAAATAAAAATTGACATTTCAAAGAGAATAAATCAACAGCACAAGATGACAAATGTATGAGCTGAAGACATGATGGATGATCCTTAAAATAATAAATGGTAGCGAGTTTATATCGAGTAATTCCCAGAAACGATCGATGAATCTTGAAACTGTTAATTAAAGAAAGAGAGTTGTTGGAATTCACAAGAATATTAAACAAAGTCTAACTACCAGTGAATATAATGGCAAAATATAATATAGTAATCATGAACAAGTTGACCTCCCTTTTTCTTTTTTTGGGATAAATATATAGGTAACAAATATTGTTATGTATATGTTCATCGATCCAAAACATCAGTCATCTTTGTCAAAATTATATCCACCCAAACCTCTCGTGTATGCTTTTTGTTGCCTAGGTATCCTATCTATTTCTTTCTTTATCAATATAAATGTTGACGGATAATACAGAATCAAGCACCAGCACAAGATGACATATATATGAGAAATCATTTCCCCTGTAATGATGAACCGGTATATCTAAATAAATGAGGGTTTTTTGGAATTTATAACAATGTTAATTAAACAGACCATAGGTGAATTAATAAAACAACAAAATAAAATAAAAAGATTAACAACCGTGAGCAAGTTGACATTTCTTTTTCATTTTTGTGATTGATTAACAGGTAATCTGGTCTTATCATATTTATTATTTCTGTAGGTTTCCCCTTTAAAACAACAATAACTTTCCTGCTACTTCCTTCCCCAACCTGGTTGCTTTTATCTTTTGATCACACTTCACACACAAAATAATGTCATTCATAAAAGACTCAGAACACCTGAGAATACCCCTTCTAGATATAAAAGTAGGCACCAAATTTTTCGAAAACATCATCGGACGAGGTGGATATGGCCCTGTCTATAGAGGAGAAATCTCACTTTCTGGTAATATGACCTCTGTCGCTGTAAAACGTCTACAAAATATTGATCAGTCAGGTCAAGGGCTTAAAGAGTTCTTAACAGAGATAAACTTGCTCTCTCGTTATAAACATCCAAACTTGGTATCCCTTCTTGGTTACTGTGAGGAAGGCAATGAAAAAATCCTTATTTATGAGTATGCAAAGCATGGAAGCTTCGACAGGTACCTGATTCCGATGAAAACCAAATGTCCATTCACATGGAAGCAACGTATGAACATATGCGTCGATGCAGCCCGCGGTTTGGATTATCTTCATAACCACGTTGCAGAGAATCATAGAGTTATCCACAGGGATATAAAGAGTGGAAACATTCTTTTAGATAACAACTGGAAAGCTATGATTGCAGATCTTGGACTTTCCAAAATAGGTCGTGCTAATGAAAATGAGACTTACCTCATTACTAATGCTGTTGGAACATATGGTTACTGCGATCCGGCGTACATTACTACGGGAATATTGACCAAAGAGTCAGACGTTTATTCCTTTGGTGTCGTATTACTCGAAGCATTATGTGGGAGGTTGTGTTTCATGAATGTAACAGGTATGCAACGAAATCTGGTCCCACTGGCTCGAGACTGCTACGAAAAAGGAAAATTAAATGAGATCATGGATCTTGATTTGAAGGGCGCAGAATCCGTAAAAGAGTTTTCTAAGATAGCATATGAGTGCGTGAATGAAGATCAGAAAGCACGACCCTCGATGGATGTGGTTTTAGAGAAACTTCAGAAAGCCTTGGAATTGCTAGTAAGTTTACATTAATTTGTTGAAAAATAAATTATGTTCTTTTGTGTCTATATATGTTAACCAATTAGAATGAATTTAATTTTTTGTACAAAAACTTGTGAAACATTGCAATGGCAGCAGATGAGCTTTAATTGGTTGAAAAATAGGAAGCTCTCTATATTATGTGCATACATTCTAATTGTAGGAATAAACTCGTAACACCTTTTTGAATATTTATTTGCTGGTACAGGAAACTGAGGAAGCATACGAACTGCAGGTAAGTTGAAATTTATTGAAAATGAATTTGTTACTTTGAATCTATATGCCAAATTAACTATATATGAATTAATCTATACGATTCTCTAAAAATGTGTTTGATGGTGCAGAAGCATGAAGAAGCATTGCGAATGAAAGTATGTACAAATTGACTAAAAATTAAAAGGTTACTTTGTATTGATGTATATTTGTTTTAACTAAATTTAACTCATATAACCTTTTGGAAAATTATTTTTTTTATACAGAAATATGAGGAAGCATGTGAATTGCAAGTAAGTTTAAATTCCTTGAAAATTAAGAGTTTCCTTTGAGTCTATATGCATGCCAGATTAACTACAATATATGGATTGATATTCTTTTCTGAAAAATGGTTTGGTGGTACAGAAAGTTGAAGAGGCATTGGGATTGCAAGTATGTAGACATTTTTCAAATCTTAAGAGGTTATTTTGTGAGTATATATGCTAAATTAACCATAATGAACTCATACACTGAAATTTTGATTTGTGGTATAGAAACTTGTGGAGGCGTTTCAAGCGCAGGTAAGCTCACTATATATATATATATATATATATATATATATATATATATATATATATATATATATATATATATATATATATATATATATATATATATATATATATATATATATATATATATATATATATATATATATATATATATAAGAATGAACTCATACATTTTTCTGAACACTTTGGTTGCTGGTCTGGTGCTACAGGAATTTGTCGAAGCATTGGTATTGCAAGTAAGATCATATTTGCTGAAAATTAATCTGTTCCATTGTGTCTATACTAATAAATAACTCTAATGAATTATCAAACTCTTCTAAAACTCTATTTGGTGGTATAGGAACTTGATGAGGCCTTCGAATCTCAAGTACGTTAGAATTTTATGAGAGTTAATATGTTTTTTTTTTTATATATGTTAAAAAAATTAATTAGCATTAACCCATCTTAAAATATGTTTGGTGGCACAGGAGCTTGTAGAAACGCTGGAATTGCATGTAAGTTGTTTCAATTGAAAATTAGAATTATATACATGTCTAAAATAATAAACTCATAAAGTTTTTGTGATGATTTGATTTTTGTTACAGAAACTTGGGGAGATATTGGAATTGCAGGTAAATTAAAAAGTTATTGTAATTTTTACGATTAGCATTTTTAAGTATTCTTATCATTAATGCAAGTTTAGTTACTTTTGTTACGTTGTTATTTTTGTGATGGGATTTATATATTAAATAGTTCAGTCATAGCAAATTCGCCGTCGAGCATAGATATGATCTATGTTAGAAGTGCCGTAGAGAGTGGCGGAGCTACACTTTGTGAAGTGGGGTGTATGGCCCCACTTGGAGAGGCTAAACCTTTTATATACATCTAACTTTTATGCATCTATAGTTATTATATATATATGATTGGTCCCTATTTTACAAAAAGACAGGCACCACTTGCATCAAGAAATAAAAAATTTATTCATTTTTAACCTAATCTAGCTGCCAGTGTGCTCAAATACGTTAACATACAACCGCCAAGTCACCGGAAAACACTCACAATCACTGCAAACCGCTAATAACGGCCAGAAAACTGCTCAAACTCGCCTGAAATTGTCGAAAACTGCTACAGTTGTCGATAACTATCGGAAAACGCTCCTACTAGCAGACCCCAATGACCTTCAGTCTGGATCCGTCACTAGTGGTAGAGGATGTTGTAAGGATGATGTCGTCTACATAAAGGAGCATGTAAGCCATGTATTGAGGTGTGTGATAAGTAAAGATAGAGAATTTGATGCAAGTAAGCCTTTTAATGAGGCTTGCAAGTAAGATTGGGAAACATGATACATAGAGGAATTGAGAAGATTTAGGTGCTAAGTTGGTTTGAAGATGCCACTTTTAGCTATAGTAGCAATTGAATAAGATTGAATAGGAGCTAGAATGGGTTCAACTTGTGCCAAGACCGGCGATGAGGAGGGAGTTGGGTGTTTGAGCGATGAGGGGTTGCCGGTTCGTATAAGGGGTGGTGGCGTCTATTTGTTAATGACCGAGGGGTTTAAGGGTTGATTGCAAAGAGATATTGGCGAATAATTGGTTAATGTTCGACATGGAAGAAAGATTGAGGGGGTGAGACACGACGATCGGAAGTTATAAGATGGCGAGCCTGTCGGAGTGACCAAGCCATTGGAGAAAGATAGATTCATCAGATTTTTCAGAAGTGGATCAATTTATTTATGACGCCAAACTTTTGTTTTAGTGGATACATCCAATGATAGTGAGGATAATGATCTAAGAAAATCACCTAATAATGTAAATGACTAACACACTAGGACCATGTGATGTCCAAATATCATAGTGAATAATATCGGAAGCACTAGAAACATTTAAGATTGAAGAGGAAAATGGAAACAAGTGTGTTTTCCAAGTTGGAAAGCTTGACATAACAAATTTTGATTGTTTGTTTTGCATGAAATTGAATTGCTAGAAATGAAATACTACAAAACTTGATCTTTGGGGTGACCGAGCCTTGGATGCCACATAGATTGACCGGAAGAAAAAACACTTAATGAGACTATGATTTTAGCCTAATCGCCACTCTTGTTCCCCATAGAACCCATTTTTCCCCATGAATTACCTCAATAACGATATTCCAAAGGGGACCATATTTAGACCTAAGCCTTCATTGGCTTTAGTATTACAATTCTTCCAAGCAACCCACGTAATCTTTTTGTTCCTTGTGAAACAACAATTTTCAAATACTCTCAAATTTTTCAACACTGCATTTAAGACTTTATATAGGGAAAAAAGATAGTTCATGAGACTACCAAGGATGACTTTTCATAAGGAGTGACTCCTAAAAGATAAGTTGTTTTCCTTCCAACTTAATACATGTATTGGAATTTATCTATAACAGGTGTGGAATTTGAGATTTAGCCATAGAAGCTCCAAGAAAACATGCGAGATATTTGAATGGAAGTGATTCCTTAGTATAAAGCGCTCGTCTAGCCAAGGATAATACCACCACATGTTGAACCCTATACCAATAACCTTGCTTTTGTTTAGATTCACGTTAAGACTTGATACTAGGAAAAGCATTGAATAATCTTAATAAGACTAAGAGAATTTTCCTTGGATCACTCCCTTATGAAGATTATGTGATCGACATAGTGTAATGTAAAGAGAGTGGCTCCATTTAGGGTCGTATGAGAGGGTGGGGTAGCATGGGCGATCGCCCAGGGCCTCCAAATATATAGGACCTATTTTTATGTGTCTACTTATATTATTGTAAGATAAAAAGGTTTTGTATTAATTCGTTGCAGACAATAGAAAAAAAAATGAGATTTGAGCCAAAATTAAGGGAAAGACAAAGAGATTCCAACCTTTAGGAATATAAACAATTAACCATTTTAACTACCAATGATCCTTTTGTATTCATAGAAAGATTATTCCTACCATATAATGAAAAGAATAATAACCTTTGTAGACTTTGATTCATCAAGGGGAGGTCTGGAAGTTGATGAAGATGACAAGAGAGACACAAAGTAGAGTTCATCTTTATGTATTCACCAGGAAAGTGTTAGCTACCAAAGATGACAATCTTATCTTGTATTAAGTATTTCTTAAGCCATTAAGAACTAATACCAAATTTTCCTTAAGGAGAAGCACTCATAAACACTTAAACTTTACACTACACACTATAAGATATAAGAAGGAAAAGAGCTTGCAAGCCTCTAACTTCCCAAACTATCCAATAAAAATTTAATTTTTCAATCACCAAAATCATTTAACCATTTGTTCAAAAGACAATCAGAGTGAAATATGTTTTCAAACATAAGAGTAAAAGTCATAAATCAACAATGCGAAAATAGAACTCTAGGGGATGCAGTACAATTAAGTTGGGCCCTTCACTTTGGAACCAGGCTACTTAAAACATTTAAAACATGAAACCGTAAGCACAAAGCTTAGTGACTCCCCCCCCCCAAAATACCACATACCATACATAACAATGGGCCCTGCCCTAGGGCTATGTTTCAACCCATCTACATGCTATTTTTCTACCATAGTCTTACATGCACTTCTCATGCTATACCCATGTTATAGTCTCCCTTGCCATGGTCTTACATACATGTATTGTGATCCCACCATAGTCTTTCATAGATATGTTGTGATCCCACCACATTCTTTCATGCAAAAGTCATAAAGACAATATAGCATACAAATGACACCCCATGTCCTATATAGTATAGTAAGAAGATTCACGTCACACATGAAGAAGGATAACCCAAAACTCATATAGATGTGAAACTGGTTCTATACCCCACCTAATGAAACATCCAAGGTCAAACCTCAGTCTACCTTCTAAAACTAGCAATTTGACCAAAAGCCAACCAAGTCAAAGTCAAGGGTCAATGACCACCACGCCGTGGTTAACCATTGACCATGTCGTGGTTAACCATTGACCACGTCGTGGCTATCTAACTCAGTCATGACCTAACTCTGCCACCACGTCGTGTCATGCATGTCATCATGTTGTGGTAGCAAACCAACAAAATAGTTATAGAGCCTTTGCTCACCACGTTATGGTTAATGTCTGAAGACAACTCTTAACGTGTAAAGTTCTTTGCTCAAACTTCCCAGAAGGCTTCCTTGCTTCATAAGGGACCATAAAAATAATTTTTTTTTGCAGGCATTCCTGTCTAATGCAAGTAATTCACTTATCTACGTCAAAAATGGAAAAAATGGGGTTACGATCCCATACATAAGCTCAAAAACATGATAAAAATTCAGATCTAAAGCTTGGGACCTCAATGATCAATAAAGCTGCAAACTTTATAGAATCATTCCACTTAAATCATCAAAACATGAATAACATGCATCAAAACCTAGATCTAGAATGAACAAACCAAAAAGATGGGAGCTTGAAAATATAAATGGAATTTACAACATTATAATAAGATCGGTGAAGCATTAAGCATATCAAAAACTTTTAGTGAGTAGTCAATTAATCCTTCCCATTTGACAGTCGTAGTTAAATTTCAGATACAAACATAATATATATATATATATATATATATATATATATATATATATATATATATATATATATATTACTTTATAGTTGAAGATAAAATATGACTACATATTTGATCTCTTATACACTTTACATTAAATATTTTTTGTTTACATTTTTGCCTAAGAAACTAGTGTTCTTCCATAAGAATGCAACATTTCACTATATCAAAACAAGTTAATATTTATTTTCATGATATTATTGAACTGCAGAGGGACTATGCTGTCGTAAAAGCCTTACAAATGATGATAAATACCCCCCAAGAATATGTTACAAAAGAGGAATTACACGCGCATCTCTCTTCTGGATTCCTTACAGACGAATCAAAAGTGGTAATTTACTATCATGTTGTATATTTTACCTTATTATTCGTAACTCTGATTAATTGGTCTCTCATACTCTAATTATGATAAAGAAAACACGTGGAGACTCATACAAAACATAGTTCTTTTTAGGCTCATTTTACTCTCTCTCTCTCTCTCTCTTATAGTTACACCTCACTCCTATAATTTTTTTTCTTTTTATATTCATGTGAGTGAAGATGGGTTAGCGAATATGATTAATAAACTATAAATATTATACCACATGTTATATATAAGCCTTAAGGGGGAGTTAGTTTTAACATGGTATATCTAATAGTTACATCAACAATTTCATATAATAAAGCATAATAAATGGCAGAAAAATAATCACTAATACTTAAAAAAGAGAAATTAAATTGTCGCCTACCTTTTATTCTTACAATTATTCCTACCCACTAAAATTATGACAAATCACCATTCAATTTAATTGTATTTGATATATTCTTAATATAGTCTTAATGATTTAGTTTAAAAAAATATGGAAAGATGACACTTGTTATAATTTTATTGGCTAAGAACATTTGTAGGCATAAAAAATAGGAATCAATTTAATTTCTTTTTAAAAAATCATGGATCACTTGGTTAGTAAGTTGAAAGTAATTACCATTATTATAATGACTTTATGGGGATTTTTGAATTCTTAGAGAAAAGTTATTAGAAACCATGGGAAAGATATTAGGAACCTAAAAGAATAATATTGTCATTAACACATACAATAATACTATTATAATTAGTAGAAGATTAAGAACCGTTGTTTTTTATTGCCAACATCCTAGGTACCCATGTTTCTCCTACCTGCAGCAATAGGATCATTTTTGTAACTGTTACTTGATTTAATAATCATAAACAACAATTAGCATAAAGTCACACAAAAATTAGTGAATTGAGATTTAAGAGCCATAAGCATGTTCCAAATTTCGAGATAAACATGTCAAAAGATTCACTTGAATCCAGTGCGGACCTATGTGGAGAATTGGGGGTCACGGGCCACTACTCAATTTCCAGCTCGTAGTGTAAAAAAAAATTAATTAATTTTTTCTATTAGATGCACTCGCTTGAAGTATGAGGGACACCCCTACTAAAATAGTCTGCATCCGTTACTGCTTGAATCAAGAAACAAACATTCTAACAGGAACACAATTAGCAAATCATTTGATTGATTGCCATACCTCAAAAATGTTATGTCAACAATTAACTATGAAACTTGCATCTACAACCATAAAGAAAAAATACCATATAATGGGGAGTTGGTCACGGTACCTTGTTAATGTCTCTATGGATAACCATTTGGGTCATTGGCTCTCTATACATTGTAGATGGATCATTACTAACTACAACTGAAATAAAAATAAAAAAATAATAAATAATAAATAAAAAAATAAAAACAAATTTAAGTTTTCAGGCAATTTTTGCACTACTCTAATCCTATTATAGTTACTTATGAAAGAAGCATCAACGAAATAAATTAAACGAAATTTGAGTAATTAAACATAACCATAGGGCTGTTCACTATTTGGATAAAACCGAATTATCCAATCGAACAATTTGGATTGAACTATTTGGTTCAGATAGTTCGGATTTTTGGATTGGATTTCACCAAAACCAAATTATTAATTTGGATTTTGGATTGGTTTTGGTTTATAAAATAAGAACCGAATAGTCCAAAAAAAACCGAATAACAATTTCTTATTTATTTATTTTTAATATATTTATAATTGTTTATTAATTTTATGAATTATTTTTTTTCAAAAAGATCAAAAAGTTTCGCCAATAAAAAAAATTAATATGATTTTCTCTCAAAAGCGTTTTATCTAATAAATATTAAATTATAATATACTTTCTTAGTAGTTGTTTAAAAATTATAAGCTACAACTAAATAATTTGTTTTTGCTTCTTCTATAAAATTGGATAATATTATAATTATATATCGTTTTAAAATGCTATGTCTTTTGAAACCGAATTATAAAAACCGATCCAACCGAATTGTAATTGGATTGGATCGGATCGGATTTGAATTTACTTTGGACAATTCGAATCCATATTTTAAAAACCGAAATCAATTTGGATTTACTTAATTGGATCGAATTGAACCGATAATGGTTGGGATCTTGCTTAGTGAAATAAGTAACTTTATTGCCTAGTCATTATTGCATAGAGTAAAAAAACCAAAAACAAAAACAAATTTTATACCGCAACATATTAACTAAAAAAAAACCGCAAGCATCAACCTACTACAGTTAAAGGGTGTTTGGCAAGCTTAAATAAATAAATAAAATAAAATAAAATAAATGTTTTTTGACGCATTACCGGTTCCACACCTGTATAAGTCAAAAAAATGATTGGGTAAATAGTTTTCTAAAAAACACCTTATAGCTCTTTGGAACCTTCAATAAGTCAATTTTTTTTAAAACGGCAAATCTACTCTACTTTTAAACTACTCCTAATTCAACTTATATTTCCAATGAGACTTGAACCCTCGACCTATAGAAAAGAGGGCAACACCCAATACCGCTGGGCTAGAAGCTCTTTGGTCAATAAATCATTCTTTGATAAGTCACTTACCCCTTATATACTTATCAAAAACTCCTTATTTCACCACTCAAAAAGAAATTGTCAAATATACCCCTTAACCTAAACCTACAGAAAAATTAAAAAAAAAAAAAAAAAAAAAAAACGTTATAAATTAATAAGTCTCTCGTTTTGACACTTTATACACTTAGCCAAACAATTCTTTAAAAACTTCATTTTGATATTGCTATAAGTTAATAAGCTATAAGTTAAAAAGTTCATAAGCTATAAGTTCAAAAGTTAAAAGCTAATTTAAATAAGCATTACCAAACACCCTCTGAATCCAAAGTCTTTATTTTCTGGAACAAAGGTTTTACACCTAAAATCTAATAATTATAGAAGAAACAATGTATTAGAATTAAAATCGAAAACCCAAGAACAACAAGTTAGACGAGAAAAACGAAAATCAGATTAAAAAAGCTACAACTAATAACGTGTATTAATTTTTTCGGTGGTGCGAGGAACGAGGGAGTGGGTGAAGGGTTAAGTTGCAGACACGATCTCTTCAAGCATTTTGTCAGGCAGTTTTTGTGTATCTCTAAACAGGAAAGATATTACACTAACATTGAAAAACATTGTTGATGAGGTAAACCTATGATCGATTGTTTGAGGATACAAATGGGTTAAAAGAAACTCAATATGATTATGATTTGTATAGAAGAGTGATTTGAGTGTTATCAGGGAAAGTGGAAGGAGGACAACTTCCCACTCTTTCATAGATAAAATTTCATTTTCTACCTAAACCGAAGATGATCGGGTAAAACCCAACAGCAACAAGTGGAAGCAGGTAACAGTGGTGAGTTGTGGAGGCTGAGTAGTGGCAATTTTTTTGGAGGCTATAGTTAGAATTAATAGCAATGTCGATAGCAATGGAGATTAGGTATTTACGGGATGGGTAGGAGATAGTGTGACTTGGAAGCGTTGGAGGCAACTAGAAGTCTATGGTTGAAATTGAAATTTTTATTCTCTTAACTAATGCCTATACAACTATACATTTAAAATAAAAATAAAAGATGGAGAATTGTTAATAGGAGGGAAATCAAGTGCAGTAGGGTTTTGTAATTTTTTGGGAAAACATTTTCCCTCTGGCAACAAGGAGGAGAGGTTTTTTTAAAATTTTGGAGATGATTTTCTCAAACACGGTCATTTGTTCTTTATGCCACTAATAGTTGTGTAAAGTTTCATAAAATGATTAATGTCACCAAAAATAGTCTAATAGTGTCATAAGATATAAATTGCCACTGTGTCTCTTAAACCTTATACCAACACAAAATCAATGTGCCACTAAAATAAGGCTATAGTGGAACAAAAATAAATTTTTGCTAAAATCGTGTCACTAAATGTAATTTAATTGTAGTGACATCACACATACACACACACACACACATATATATATATATATATAGGCACACACATAGAGAGAAAGGGAGAACGAGGGAGTCAGGGAGGGAGAGAGAGAAAGAGGAGGAGGATAGAGAGAGAGAGTGTGTGTGTGTGTGTGTAAGAGAGAGAGAGAGAGAGAGAGCGAGAGAGAGAGAGAGAGAAAGAGAGAGAAAGAGAGAGAGAGAGAGAGAGAGAGAGAGAGACTTCTCCAACCAACACAATCCATTATGTTAACCATCGCACCCTGATAAGGAATATCCTTGACCCATTAAGGCCACTACTGCCACCGAGAATAACAAGCCCAAACCATGGGTATAGTTGATTTGTAGGGAATTGATAAGAATATTTTTACTTTATGAATCAGCAATATTTCTTGTGCACGATGAAAAATCATTAGATTTCTTTCTCTCAATGTTAATACATCAATTGAAAGAATATATTATCTTCTTCAAATTATCCATTTTACATTATAACCATTTTTTTGATCTAATTTCTATTACGAGTTGTTATTCCTATCAATTGGTTCCGTTTCCCTCTATCACCATCAATTATGGTACTACCGAACTACCAACTCACCGCTAGATTACAAGGCCAATTAGCTACTCAAAAAGGAGCGCATCACCAAATTCTCTTTGTAAATGACAAACCTAACCTCGATAGCGTATTCTATTAGAGAAACTGGTGGAATTCATAAACACCGTGAAAAATCTCCTTCATCCACCACCCATAAACCCTGAAAACGCCCCATACTTGAACTAGTGATTCTAGCTTCTATGACCCTATAGTCATCCACATGAGCTATACTAACGATCGAAAACCTCCCAATGGCTCTAAGCCTCCTCCCTTATTGCACAACATTAAACTTCCCCCATATCCCCTTAATTCATCTCTCTTATCACTTTTGAAATTGAAGCGTCCCCTCTTTGACGGTGTCAATCCCAAAGGATGGTCCATCTGTTAGGGAAAACAGACGATACTTGTCAAGACTCATAACAAACCTGATGCCACTTGCCAAGTTATATTTACATGGTTCGGTCAAGGTGACCTTTGTCCACATAAAAGAGGGGAGTATTCTTTATTAATAGAGTTCTCAAACAGAGATTACAAGTACAACTAGCAGAGATTCGTCCTACTCACTAAGGATACAAGACACATCAAATGACTTAACATGCATCCCTGTTTATATTGAAGGGGTCAGGCCTAAAACCCTATATAGGCCCATGAATGGTGTCAACCAATCACAATCCACCATGCTGTAGTTTCTGGAACATTCATCCATGACATACACCACAAGATTAGCAACAATGCACATGATAGAGCACAATGAGCCATAGTGGAGCATCATGATGCACATGTGGTGCGTCATGAACATTAGTGGCCCAACATCCATCATGGTTGCACAACATTGTGTATTCCTTAAGCATCAGCAACTTCTAAGCATTCTTGAACAATCTTGAGCATCATAGAGGACTTGATAACATATGTGGATCATCAGGGATACCATGGTTAATCAAGGAACCAAAATGGTGCATCTTGCATGATGATGCCCCATATTATGCAAGGATGGTGTAACATCCTTCAAGCTTGGCACAACTTCCTTCTAATTGGCGCAACTTCCTTCTAAGGTGGCGCAAGAGCTTCCAGGTGGTCGAAACTTCTTCCACTTTGGTGCAACATCTACCAGAGTGGTGCAACATGGTCCAAAGTGGCGCAACATGTATGCTAATGGTGCAACATGCTTGACACTTGGCCCAACACTTAATTAAATGGCGTAACTATGCATCAAGTTGCTCCATTCCACCCCCAAGTGCTCCAAACCTCTTCCAAATGCTCCATACCCCCTTTTAGATGATATGTTCCTGTGACACTTGATATGTCCTTTGTCAGATTATTCATTCCCTTCTCAAATGATTCCTTTATTACATGCTCCATGAACCCCAAATGCTCCTTGAATTCAAATGCTCCATGAGAATGCTCAAGTCACATTTAACAATCTCCACTTTGACTTAAACATCATCTAAACTCCACCTTAAACAAGAACTTCCTCTTCGTTTCTTCCATCAAGCTCCTAAGGGCCCTACCTCTTGTGAACATCAAGAAATTCCAAGCAAAGCTTGAACTTCTCTCTAGGGAACATCCTTGTAACCATGTCTTCTGGATTCTCCTTGGCACCAAACTTTTGAATGCATAACCTATCATAGAGCATGATAGGTTTTTCCACCTTCAAAAGAAGATTATGAACGAGACCAACCACCAATGATCTTTTTGTCTCCAAATCACTTTCATGGTCTGAGTCTTCCTTTTTCTTTTTTCTTTTTTTTTCATAGTTTATGGGTTAAATTCTAATAGATTAAATAAGATGCAACTCCTATTTCTTTTTAGGTGATGAAACATTTTACACTTCTTTCTAGAACACCAAACAATTTGAACAATTACCACCAACAAACAATTTTAATAATGATATGTATGTTGAAACAAATTTTGGAATAAACTCTAACACATTGTTTCTGAGTCCAAATTAAAGAAAAGAGAGAAAAGAAGTGAAACGACCTGGAATACAACAATCAATTCATGATCATTAATTGTGTATGTTTTCATTAGAAATATGGTTAAAAAGTAGAAGAAAGCATAAGGTTATCTATGTTACTTTATCGAAATGAAGAAAGAATAAAGGGAGCATTTGCCTAGATGAAACCAGAGCACCTAAGAACCAGTGGTGGCGACAATTACTTACGGGGGACAAGATACAAACAGCAACAATGAAAAAGAAGCAGCCGATGAGGCAGGAGAGGAGGAAATGAAGGAGGGTTTTTTTTTGTGCAGATTATGAAAAGAAGAGTAAAGATTTCATCGAGAATGTATACAACCTGTTGCACTTAACTCATTAGCACCTGAAATAAAATAAAGAAGAAAAAGAAGAAAAAAACATCTATAAGAAAAGCACTTACTTTTAGGATCAATTATCTATGTAAAATTTTTACTGTAGGTTTTTATTGTTATGTGTTGAAAAAGATGCTATATATCTGTAACAGCCTTCTCCTAATTCAACTTGCATTAATAATTTTTGGTGTAGTTTTGGCAACTAGTTGTTCCATTTGTGGTCCAGACGTGACATCGGATAATGCCTCTAAAAGGATATACAATACTAATGTGTGCTTTTATTTACAGTGGTTTTCAGTCGATGAGAACGGAAAGAATCAAGAGATGATATCTGCAATGAAATTCATGCATACAGACCCAAACAAATTCGAAGCGATCTCTTTACCTGGATCTCGGTTATCTTTCTTCTCTTTTGTCAAATTTCTAAAAAAAAGTTGATCTAATGACAAGCCCAAATTTTATAATTTACTTGATGTGTACACATTTTAATGAAATAAATATTGGTTTCTTCTCCCAATTAGATCGGGCAATATCTGTTAAATTGATATAAATTTATAAAACCAAAATCAAACTCCTTTTACAAGGAGAATTTGGTAGACAAATGCTTGAATAAACTAATTTAGTTGTATGTCTTCCAACATGTAGATTCCCAATGGTAGCAAAGGTTTTGAATGCATCAAAGGTTAATATGCAAGTGACGATAAGAACACAATTTCTATCATCTGATGTCACATATGCAGCTTACCTCATATGCAAACACAAATATTCTACTCAAAATCCGGTTATCAAAAGTCTAAAGTACAAACTAAACAACCAAACTCAGTCGTATATTTCATATCAAGGAGATTATAAAAACAGATGGGTGATGATGGAACTATTTCAAGCCAAAGTTCTTTCTAGAAATTTTGAATTCAAACTTTTGCTAGAAGAATTTGCTTCTGATAGCTTCCATGATGAAGTTATTGTCGAAGGGGTCGTGTTTTCGCCGGTACAAAAGGTATGTTATGATATAAAATTTATGAATAACAATGTTGGTAATTTCACCAAAATGTTTTTGTGCAATGAGATTTGTAATATTACCAATGGAGCTCAAACTTAGATTTTATACAAGTTGCCAGGTGCATAGTGTATACTTGTTTAAAACGAATATTGTAAGTGACTACTGCTTGATTATAGCACATTAGTGGTAGTAATTATCTAATAAGGCATTTAATTGTTGAATTAAAAGAGTGGGTAGATGCATATCAGGTATCAAACAAACAAAAGCAAAAGGCAAAGGCAGAAGAAAGAAAGAAAAAGAAAAAGAATGAAAACGATAATTGTTTAATAATATTGTACTTTCTATTTTGTAATTAGAAAAATACAAAATTACTTGTTTGGAAAGATTAATTTACAAATTTACATTGTTATCATTTAGTTTTTGGGGTTTGTGTTAAGATAAAACATTGTCATATACTTCACAGTTTGATGATGAAAATATCGAAACACAAGAGATGGAGAATCCCACAGCGACTGAGATAGAATGGGAGAATAAATTGCCGAGCGACTATGAACAATTCATACATTGTTCTGGAAAACGTTTAGTGAAAAGGCCCTGGAATAGTTTCATCACTGAAACCAAAGAGGAGGCGTACTCCATTCTTTCCAAGGGTATTTATATCAAGGTCAAAAATGATAATGATGTGGTAAGTGAGTGTCTTATCATCTTATCTATTTTTACTTTTTTTTTTTCTCTATTAACTTAAAAACTTCTTAAAATTTCCATCCATAAATGCCTAATTATGCCTTACAATACTGAAATTATGAAATAAAAGACGGAAGATAATTTTCCAAGTTACCATGATAATTTTAGGATTAAAATCAGATTTATATAAGCGTGAATCAGATGGCAAGCAAGTGATACCCAAAGGCTTGTCTACTTCATTTTGAGATCACATGCTTACATATAGAGATTAAACTATTGTTATAACCAACATGTTTACAAATAGAGATTAATTATATAACCTACAGTTCCATGTATCTTAGTATACTTAATGTCAAACTATATTTTTATGTCTACTTTCTGTGATAGGATGCAATTTAATGTTCGAATATATAAAAATTGTTTTTAAAATACGTCAGTAAATCATTAAAGTCACATCAATATATAGAACGACCATTGAAGCCTAAGTGACCATAGTCTCTCTTGAACCCCTTTGGAACTTGACAGTTTAGATTTAGGGGTTGTTTAGTAGAAATTGAATAATTAGTATGAACCATAAAGAGACCTAAATATTTAGGAGGTATGAATGATTTAGTATTGCTTGGTAAAGTTAGAATAGGTGTGTTTAAAAAAAAACATTTTCCCTTTCCAAGAATTTTAATTAATCAAAATCTATAATTTTCAAATTAACATTTATATGAATTTTAAAGATCCATTTTTCTAAATATACTTATTGTAATCATATTTATCCATGTAATTCCAATACACATATATTTTCAAACCAAACATAGTTTAATTTTCTCATACTATATATATAATTAGTAACATTTGTTTTATAAAATTAATCGAAAAATATCGTTCAACTATCTGTCATGAAACCAATAATCCTATTCTAACCCACAAGCACAAGCAACAAAACTATAAATAAAATTAAAAACAAAAATACAAAAATATAAACTATGTTCTTTACAGATAGCAATTTACATATGGATATTTAGGCTTTAGCATATTAGGAATGACAGCAAACCACAACTCTATTCGACTATTCCCATTTCATATTTCTGACAATCTCAGATGACAAAATATTTAGTTGGGAACTTAGTCAGATGTATTTCGAAAAATTAGGGATTCTTAGATGAAGGCAAAAAAAAATTCGAGAATGTAGTCTCCTTAAAAACCTAACAGTGGATAAAACCGGAGTAGGAGAAAGACATTTTGGTGGCTATATTCAATGACAAAAAAAAAAAAAAAATGGTTTTAAGAGGAAGAGCATGCTTGGGAAAGAATAATTCAAAGCTTTTAATAGCTCCACCTCTCCAATTGAATCAAAGCTTTTTTCTTTCTACCAGACAATCTAAATAATACCCATTAAGAGGTTACCTCTTAACTAAATGGTTAAGACACTTTACCAAATATTCCCTTAATTAATTTAAATTCTCTTATCTAACAAGATTTGGAATATGATTTGTTGTCTTATAATCAATTTAAAACCAATACATTGGATTAGAATTTACAAATCACTGTCACAATTTAAAATCTTGCAAGGAAATGTTAACTCAAATTCAGATTCAAAGACCATAAATTTGTTGATCGTGAAATTCAAAATTAATAAGATATTATGCAATAACTTACACCTAATGAGACGAATTTCAATAACACAAATTTAAGATCATAATCTAAAAACAGTTAGTTCACAAAGATAGAACCTCATTCAAAAATGAACATATTATCTTACAGTAGCTAGTTTTTGCCATATTTTCCCAATGAGAGTCAAAACACAAAATTAAAAGCTATTATCATAAAATAAACCTATATAAAATCATATTTGAGTTGTAAAGTAATCATTTCTTCACCCAATGTAATTAGATTTGTAAGAGTTTCAAAACAATTTGGAAGCTTAATTTCCGGTAAAACCATTTATGTTATGGAAAAGATGTTGATAATAAAATTTTCATACCTTAAGGTTTTTGAGAGCTTGAAGGTATCATGTTCCACACAATACTTGGCCATAGAATCTAAATTCACCCAAGGTTAATAATTCAATAAATTATTTTCTTGATAAATAAGATTTAAACAATATTTAAGAAAAAAATAAATAAGGGGAAATATATAAAAGGTTGGGAATTTACAGGAAAAGATTGCGTCCACAACTAAGCTGGTTATGTAGCCAAGCTGATTCCTCAACCAAATTGATTTTTTAACCAAGTGATCCGTACATAAAGTGGATCCCCAGCGAAGTTGATCCCCAACCATGCCAAGCTGATCACGCATCCAAGTTGATTCCTCAGCAAGTGTTCCTCTATTTTGACAATCAAGTTAAAAAAAAACACTTAACTTCATGTCACTATCGTCACAGCTAAAACATATAACATTGAGATCCATGTGCATTATCATTTTTTCATATATAGTTTAAAATTTTAAGTCTTTCGAAGTTTTTTTTATTTCCTTTAACTTTTTAATTTTCTTCTTATTTAGAGCAAGCTTATTGTAGAAAATGGTCCCTATTCTTTTAACTCATTATAACAGCTTACTTGCATTTCTCTACCAATGAGTGTTTGGCTAAGCCGTATTAAGAGTTCACATAGGTACCCCTCAGCCAATGGTAGAGGGTTTAAGTCTTGTTTGGGACAAAATGTGTAAACTAGAGGGTGTGTGTATGCCGTTCTAAAAACTCTTACATTTATCTACCTAAAGAAGGGTTAAGTGTCTAGGAATGAGCGGATAGGGACAAAATATACTAAATATTCACATATAATGCCAATGTGCTTATGTTTTACGCCCATAAAAGAAACATGCTTATGCTTTTTTATTATGATAGGATCAATTATATTGATAGCATAATGCAAGTGCGTTGCTATTATCTTAATTCCATATCATAGATGATAGCTTATGTTTTTTTTTCTCTCTTTCAAAAAAAAAAACAATGTCCTCCAAATGAAAAGAAAATTTAAATATCGTATGAGCATATTTTGTAATGTATAATATCCGAATATAAAAGTCAAACTGAAAGGACAATGTTATAATGTGTGTGGGTATATATATATGTATATATATATATATATATATATATATATATATATATATATATATATATATATATATATATATATATATATATAATGTATAATGTCCTAATAAAAATCAAACCGAAAGGACAATGTTATAATGTGTGTGTGTGTGCGTGTGTGTGTGTGTGTGTGTGTGTATATATATATATATATATATATATATATATATTATATATATATATATATATAGGGTAAAGTGAATATACCTAACAACCTTATATAAGCTTAGGTACCTAACTCCATAATACTACATCGGTTTGTATCGTATTTACATTGTAATTGTCTAATGTTCTTAAACTTCAACCCCATAGCTTTATTACTTCCAAAATCTTTGGACTTTCACCAATATTTTTCTTTTACATCACGTCTTTTTATTGAATACCGCCTGATAGGCTTCATATCCTACCGCTACAAATGAAATGATGTAGGAGAAATATAATGATGAATTTCCAAATTTTTTTGAAGTAAATCAAGTTTAGGGATGAAGTTTAGGTACCTAACTACATTATACTACATCGTTTTACATTTATATTTTCATTGCAATCATCCAAAGTTCTTAAACTTCAACTCTTAACTTGATTTACTTCCAATATTTTCAGACATTCACCATTATATTCCTCTTACATCATTTGAATTGTAGCGGTAGTATATGAAGACCACCACGATATATTTGACAGAAAGACGTCATTTGAAAGAAGATAATGGTGAAAGTCCAAAGATTTTGAAAGTAATCAAGTTACGAGGTTGAATTTTAAGAACTTTTAACGATTACAATGCAAATATGATACAAAATTACGTAATATGATGTGGTTAGGTACCTAAGCTTATATAAAGTTGTTAGGTATATTCACTTTACCCTATATATATATATATATATATATATATATATATATATATATATATATATATATATATATATATATATATATATATATATATATATATATATATATATATATATAAAATAAAGAATGGAAAATTATATTCATTTATTTTGTAGTTCTTTTGGATAACCAAATCAAACGGGAAGAAATGTTTCATGCTTTCACCAAAGATAATACGACATAATCCTGAAGTTGACAAGTTGGTACCTAGGGAACATCTAAACGAATCAAGGTATGTTTCTCTCATATGGTTAAATTGAACCATTATGTTTATTAATATGCATTTAGGGAAAATATCGTAAAGCCCAATATATTTTAGCTAATTATATGGAAAAAAAATGTGAAGATTTCACAAAAAAAAAAAAAAAAAAAAAAAAAAAAAAAAAAAAAAACCATTCAAAGCTTGGGATACTTTCGGAAACGCGTTCTTTACATTTGTTCGACTTACCAACATGTACATAAACTAATATTCTAATAATATGGACGCGAGGTTGACGAAAATCAATGGTAAGGATGAGAATTTGACATAAACTAATGACTTGGAGATGAATGGGATATAACATTCAATATCAAATTGGAAATAGTAATAGGCTTTTATAGTCAAATGATTCAATGCTAAAATAATAATGATTTATGTTAAAAACCTATATCAAACATCGATAAATAGGAAGTGTTGCTCTACATACACCCATCCCTTTTCTAGTAAATCCTACATTAACTCAGTAAAAGTTTGGTGACCTCACCTTTTCCCTTGAGTGGCTCATCCTTCTATACCTTTTTCTTTATTCTCTCCATGGAGAAGATGAGAGATGACCCTGCTATTTTATTAGCTGGAGTTCCAATTATAAAATGGGATTATTTCTTTTTTATTATATAATTGTTTCTAGTTACTACTAATATCGCTCTTTCCATGGTTATATATTTGTTTTGTTATAGTTGAGAAGCCTCTTTTTATTTCATATGTGACATATCTTAAAGATTGTGTTTTTCAGCTATGTTTTCATTTCTCATCATCCTTTTAAATTATCTTTTTCTGCAACTAAGTTTTTAAACAAAAGAGAAAAATAAGGAAAGAGAATACTAGAGTTATTCAAGTTTCAATAGAGGAGAGTGTTGTTAAATATGAAAATCAATTGGCAGTTTCTTCATATAAGTTGTTACTCTAATCTTGATGAAATGAATGATGATTCAAATTAGAAAGAAATATATCATGGACATGATCTCTAGGGCCTTCTTATGGGTTATATGGATGTACCGGAACGGTTTGATCTTTAATAGCAAAGTGAAAAACCATTATCTTCTTGCTTTTGATGTCAAAACTTTAGGGTTTTTTTTGGCTTAAAAATAAAGCTAGGTGGGGGAGATCTTTGTCTTGGGACTCATGGATTGATAACCCAATCTATTGTAGCTTGTAATTCCAGCTTCTTTTTGTTTTTTTTTAATAAAGTCTTGTTGTTAAAAAAGGATGAGGGTTTAGTAGACAAAAAGATGAAATAATCTAGGAACTTTTATTAGAATAAAGATTCATGAAAATGATAATGAGAATAAAATTAGTTAAAGAAGAATCCATGAATGGATGTACAATATTGTACAATATTGGTGCCCTGTTGTTGAATTGGACATGCTAGAAATTAAAAACTCAAAATAAAGATTAACACTAGGATTTTGAATGCAAACCATATAGCCATATGCACACGACAAGTTATATTATTATCGATAGAGCGAGATTACAAGAGGTAGAGAAGTATTTCCTAATGATTTGTTTGTAAACTATGTAATAGAGAAGTTTATGGATTTGTAATATAATAAAAGGATTTTCTAATGTGTGTCCTAAGGGCACATATAACAAACATTAATTATCACAAATATTACTATAATTAAATGTGAATTTCATTTATTATAAGGAATATTGTTATAATTAAATGTGAAATACATTGATAATCTCCATAATAAATACATTTAACATTTAATTATGATAATATGTGTCTTCATTAATGCTTGTTATATGTATCATTTTCATATACCTCAATTACTAACTGGAGTTCATTTGACCTATAAGTGAGTATGATGTCAAATGGACTTTTCGTGAGATAAGGATAGTATAGTCCATTCATACTTCAGATAAAGTTTCTCTAGGTTTTGTGAAAAACAAAGTCGAAATGCATTACGTAGTTCTTTATATTTCAATGACACTAAAAAATGATCCTTTCGCCATATGCAGATTCACATATATATTAGAGTTATCATCTTCTTCTATGGTACGTATGGAATTCAAGATCATAGATCCTCTTCTATCATCAAACACTACCTATGCATGTTACTTCATTTACAAGATATCAGAACATATGGAGAATCCGGTTGAAGTGAAGATTAAACAGTTAATGTTAAACTATCCACCTGGGGTTATGGTAAGTGGCTATACTAATGTTGTGTATTTGAGTACACCTCAAAGTCTGGTAATTGGGTCGGATGGTGCAGAAAGATCTCCAAACACAATGAACAAAAACAAAATGGTAGAATCTCCACGAAGGAGAAAAGATGGTTGGTCCGAGGTTAGGTTGGGGGAATTCGCTAAACACAATATCCAGGATTCTCGACCATGGTATGTCAGGCTTACCATAACATTTATTTTTTCAAAGAAAACACTATTTCTTTTTAAATCCATTTATTTAAACATTACAAGTCCTTGTAGGATATGTAGGTGTATACCCTGTTTACCATATACAAATGACGCATATGATGAGGAAGATTATTATGACACAAAGATTACAAGAATATGGCCTGAGTATGACCCAAACATCAATATATACATGAACTGGAAGAACACATATAATTCGGTACAATGGGCTAGGATCCCAAACCTCAGCGTGCAAGGAATTGAGTTCCGACCTCTATAAAGTCCTTAATTTGTGCCGGAAGAAAACTAGATCCATGCATTGTAATTTTTTATTTTTATTTTGGATATCAGCATCTTGCTTCTTCATTTCACAGCAAATAAGGTGAAACAATCATTAATTATCATGTACTATGTATTGAAATAATATTATCTAAGTAAATATCATTCAAGATCAAACTAGCTAATATCTCAAAAATGATAAACAACTAATGAGAATTTTAAGGGTCTTGGGAATCAACAAAATAATTCATTTTTAGTTACTTACGCAATTAGGCAATTACGCACATCAAACGAATTTGGAAATCAACGTAAGGCTATTGGGTTGGAATTTGTTGCTACTGTTGGGACCTTGGGAAGGTCTAATTTTTTGGGTGTTGGTTGTATGTCTTTTAGTGGGCCTACAATACATATGTCTTTTAGTGGGCTTACAATACTTAACTAGTGGATGTTGGGCCATCTAAATAGGCAAATTTACATATAGGAAAAAATGAAGCTCCTCAGGGATAGAGGTGGGGAAAGTACCACTTTTTTTAAAATAAAAAATAAAATAAATAAATAATCTACTCTAATAAATAAACATCTTTTTATCATATGTCGCATTTTTATTCATTTTGTTATATGTAATTTTATAGTTATTTTAAATTAATTTTTATTCCACATGTCATTTTATAGTTTTTCTATTTTATTAAATTCCACATATTATTTAAATCTACTCAAAGAAATAAAGATCTTTTTGTCACATGTCATATTTTTATTCATTTTATCACATGTAATTTTATGGTTATTTTAAATTAATTTTTATTCTCTATGTCATTTTATGGTTTTTCTATTTTATTAAATTTCATATATTATTTAAATCAAATAGTAAATGCATATCAATTTTATTAATGAACTTTCCTTTTAATTTAAAATTACTAAATTAAAGTTTCATTAATCTCCTTTATTTATTTATCTAGATTATTTGTTTAAATTTAAAAGAGAAAAAAAAAACACTTTAATTTTTATAATTCAATATTTTCTCACTTTTCTTATAAGTTCAAACTTCTCAAATATTTTGAATTTTATATTTAAATTTTCTTTTAAATAAACTCATGTAATACATAGGTCTCACACCTAGTAAATAAATAAATAAACTGAACCAAAACTGGTTTAAGAAAAAACTGGTTTGCATCAAATAAGTTTGATTTAATTCAAACTATCGGTTTCAGATATAATACATGAAATTAGATTTGAACAGGTTTGACAAAAAAAAATAGTATCAAATTAAAGATTAGTTGAAAACCCGGTTTAAAATTATACAGACCGTGATTTATAATGTAGTAGAAAAAAAACATTTAAATCCATCATTTTTTGAAAGTGTTGTTGATTTGTTGATACAAGGAAATAAATGTTTCTAACAAATGTTGACCCCTTAAACGATCTGGGATACACGAGACACTTATTTAAGTAGAAAAATGACGTTTTAACCCTTTAAACGATCCTAAATGTCCAGAAAACAGCTTCTATTATGAAAAAACAATTAGTTTTACTTGTTAGGTCATTTTGATGGGTTTTGAGCATAACATACAATCCTATGTGAACATGCAACCCTAATAAGATCTATGTCTTCTCTAATTGAACATACAATATGAACAACATCATGCAAACCCTAGATCTATGATATATAATCGAAATTCAGATAATAAAGAGTTATGATACATACCTTTGATTGTGATGTAGTAATAACAATCCAATTGTTGGATTAGTGTCTAAGTCCATAACTATCGTGTTGACGTTATCTTGTTTCTGTGCCATTCCAATTGAGTTAATTTTGCATATGAGTTCTATGAGTTCTCATTTGAATGCATAAAAGGCAAGGACCTTAATCAATAATAAGTACATTGACAGGAAAGGGTGAGCTGCTTAACTGCTTGGAAGACATGGTGGGCAGCCGTGTTACCATAAGGCAAGAAATCAAGATTGAGAATGTTCGGTCCATATGAGTTTGGATTTGTCGCAAATCTTGGTTTTGACAAATTCACATGGATAGGAACACACACATACACCATTAAATCTAAGTGTCATAAGATTACCTCCTTCATGAAAATGACTGTGAGGAAATGCTTTCACTAAGAGAAATTTTAAGAAGACAGCAATTGCAAAATTATATTCTCGAATTCGATTATGGTTACGGTATCCCTTTCCATAACTCGAATTATGAAATTTAGTAATTAGTCTGAATTGTTTAAGACACACATATGAGCTGTCTTGGATAAAGGTGTATGAGATTAAGAAGCTTAGATAAAATATTATCAAAGCATTAAGTATTAGAAACATGAACTTAGGAAATTCAATAGGTATTGTTTTTCTGAAAGTTAAGTTGTTTCTGAATACATGTCAAAGCTAGTGGGAGGATAAGTGTTATGTTTATAATAATCATCATGATAGTGGGAGCATAAATGTTATGATTGTATGATTATTAAGGCAAGTATTGCAAGTTAGCAATATTAATTATAGAAAACAAGAGTCATACTTTGCAAAGTTGTAAGGGTTGAATAGTTGTTTTGCTATATATAAAGGAGAGAATATTATGCTTCATTTCAAATCTAAAGGCTTAGGTTGTGGAATGTTAATAAATTTAGTCAAGGATACATAGTGTGTTCTTAAATTTCGATTATGATTACGGGATTCCTCTTCATAATTCGAATTGTGAGAACATAGTGTGACAACCCGAAATTTCCATTCTGTACGAACGATATCTATTCAATAGAAGCCAGTCCAGTTTCAGTGATTTTCAGACTTTTCCGAACAAGTTTGTGTACATTAGGGTTTACGTTTCAGGAGATATCAGGAGAGTGGATGCTCCTAGATTTGTGAAACGTGAACATTCCAAGTTTCATAATGTTATAGTCCAACTTCCGGAATAAAAATATTTTCTGCAAAATATTTCAGGACTATAAATAGATTTCTAAAATTTAATTAATTCATTATTCACAATTCCAACTAGAGAAAAGCCATTTTCTCTCTGGCGGATCTTCGGGTTTTCATCCCGGATTGTGAGTCTACTTTCCTAAATGTGTTTTAATGTTTGTTATATGCTTTATAACATTGTTTACATGTCTAAAATACAAGATCCGGGAGCTTACGGCCCAAGAACGTTCTTGGGGTGTAAACTCCAAAACGAGGCCTAAAAGCTTCCTAGTCCCGATTCCTTGTTAGACAACTAGTTTAGGATTTATTGTAGGATCTTTTGAGTCTAGAAATCATCCAAGATCATAAGGCTTTTGGAGTTTACGGCCCAAGAACTTCTTGGACCGTAAACACCATTTCCAAGGGCCAAAGTGTGCCCTAAATGACCCTTAAGGCTTAAGGCATTTATCCTCTAATGCTTGTAGCTAATTTGGACACCAAAACACTTCAAAATTATAAAGTTCTAGGAGTTTACGGCCAAGAAAAGCTCTTGGGCCGTAAACCCCTTTTTCAAGGGTTAAAAGTGCCCTAAACACCCTTAAAGCTTTAAGACAATTACCCATTAATACTTAGGACTTGAATGGGGATCAAATTACATCAAAATCATCCCTTAAAGGGAGTTTACGGCCAAGGAACATCTCTTGGGCCGTAAACTCCAAGTAAAGGCACAAATGTGTGCCTAATGTCCCCTTTAGCCTTAGACAAAAACATAGAAGTTATCCTACATATGCAAGTGCCTTAAATGAATTAAAACCAACACCCCATAGGAGTTTACGGCCATAAACTCTAGGGGATATGGTCCTTTGGCCGTAAACTCCCCAAAGGAGCATTCTAGGGCCTTAAACTACTTCAAGGATTATTCCAACAAGGCTAGGCTTATTCTAGGATCAATATAGCACTTCAAAACACCCAAAACCACCAAGTGTGGAGTTCACGGCCGTAAACTCAAGGAGTTTATGACCATAAACTCCAAAGGTGGGGGTGGTGAACTCATATACAAGGTCATTGGTGCGTTAAACCCCTTTTGCCTTGTCCCGTATCAACTTAGATGCAACCATTAGGACCTATAACACTTATATAAAGTGTTTACATGTTCCTAAGTGTCTCAACTTATTTTATTAAGTTATTATTTAGCTAATTTAGTTATATATATGCTCATTATATGATAACTAGGCTCGTACGTGTGAACAAGTCTCCGTTTGCCACCTAGCACGGTACTCGATACATCAATTCAATCTACTCACCACAAGTGAGTTCATACCCCTTTAATCAACCTTTGAAATGATTTTAAATGTTTTAAATACTTTATGGGGGGAATACAAGTTAAACACTTACAGTTATTACATCAATCACATGTGATTACATTAATCACATGTGATTAATAACTAGAAAACCAATGATTTTATCACTGTTCAAACTGTTTATCAAACTGTTTCACTTCAAAATGTTTTACAAACTCTTTTACTTATCAAATGCTTTTATTAAACTTTGTTTTACTTCTTATAAATTGCATGCCCATATATGTATAGATATATAAGTAATGTTTAAAGGGCTTAGGAAGGCCATCCGCCCTATTTCCTTTTCGCGCATTGAGTGGTCTGGTGGGATTTCGGTGACCATCCGAGGGTCGTTTCAATATTAGTTATATATCATATATACATGTATAGACATAAAAGTACTTCCATATTCATACTTATCAGTACATCAATAGCTAGTTACCATCGGGGTAATACAGAACATATACAATTATACTAGAAACAGAACATATACAATTATACTAGAAACAGAACATATACAACTATACTAGAAACAATACATATACAACTATACTAGAAACGGAACATGTACAACTATGCTAGAAACAGGACATATACAACTATACTAGAACGAGAAACATTACATATACATGAACACGTTAACAATTGTGATCCACTGTGTCGGAGCATGCCTTAAATGTCATGGCCCGAGTTGTAGCCAGAATTCTCTTGGAGGGAGAGCGTGAGTTGCGTATAGATCTATACTGGATTGACTATCCTACACCTTGCTGCTAGCTACAGCCGGACCTGCAGGTCTGCGGGTGCCAAACGTCATTCCGTTATTACGACCATTCATATGTCGTTGTTACCAGTCGATAGATGGTGCAATTTATCACATATACCTTAATATAAATCCGGTTTAAGGTAGTTAGTACACAGTAGTTCTTATAATACAAACTACAGTACTACAAT